CAAGTTCAAACTTCACACACACAAGGTACATCATGTCACAAATATGTATGTGCATTTGTTTCATGATCTCATTAACGATAGCCAAATGGGGGCCGCTTTAAGGCCGAAAATGCATTGAAATGGCACATTTTCACCATTCCGGACCCGTATCTCAGTTATGCATGGATGGATTTTGTTCAAATTTGGTACATACATTAAACATAATAGGACCTTGATGCACGTCATTTTTTTTTCGGATCAAGTTCGAAATAGCCGACTGGCGGCCATTTTGTTAAAGAATTCAGTTCTGGATCCGTATCCAAGACATGTCTGGATTGATCAAGTTCAAACTTCACACACACATGGTACATCATGTCACAAATAGATATGTGCATTTGTTTCATGATCTGCTTAACAATAGCGGAATGATGGCCATTTTAAGGCCGAAAATGCATCAAAATCACATATTTTCACAATTCCAGAACCGGATCTCAGTCATGCATGGATGGATTTTGTTCAGATTTAGCACAATGTGTTGTACATATGCAGGTGCATTTCGGTCATGATCTGCTTTGAATGTATATGTCACTCAAATATGAACAGAACGGGGACGTGTCATTGACAATGACTTGTTCAATTTTAAATTAAGTGATCTGAGAGCAAAATGGCTTGTTTTTGACCCTTGAACCCTGACCTATGTAACCATGGTAATAGGAACAGTGGATGCGATGAAGGGAAAGAATGGAACACTATTTAAGGAGAAAAGTCAAATTGCTATTTCACTTTCACAAAATCTCGATAGCGCTTAAATCCCAGGTGTACTACATGTATTTAAAACAGCAGTTTACAAAGTTTATTGTTATTCTTTTGTTAATATTTTGCTTGCAGTTCAATTCACTCTTCATTGAGGTCTCCATGTTTTGTTTGTTTTGTTTTATTCTTGATTTCGGTAATCAGAAATGTGTGTGTTTCTTATTTGTTTCCTCAGAACCAAGACAGTGTACAATATGCAGCCATCTTGCAAAATATGAATGTAGAGATTGCAATGTTGAAAAAAGTTTTGTAACAGATCAAATAACATCTTACTGTGGAGGATGTGTTGAAAGAGTGAGCATCATATTTTAATTTAACCTTTATGTAGTCAAGTCAGGACTGACAGGATAAGGGATTATTCCATCACACTTTTATTAACAGTTTTGTGTCCAGGTTAAAATCAACCGACTTTTACCATGTGTTAAGTGCAATGTCATTGTCTTTTATGGAATGATAAGGTCACTTTTATTGTTTGCTCTAGTTAGTTTGTGTGGGTAGTAAATCTGATTCTCTAGTCAATTCAGGTGAGCAGTAAATGTGACCTCCTAGTCAGTTTGGGAAGACAGTAAATGTGACCCCCTAGTCAGTTTGGGAAGACAGTAAATGTGACCCCCTAGTCAGTTTGGGAAGACAGTAAATGTGACCCCCTAGTCAGTTTAGGAAGACAGTAAATGTGACCCCGTAGTCAGTTTAGGAAGACAGTAAATGTGACCCCGTAGTCAGTTTGGGAAGACAGTAAATGTGACCCCCTAATTAATTTGGGAAGACAGTAAATGTGACCCCCTAGTGAGTTTGGGAAGACAGTAAATGTGACCCCCTAGTGAGTTTGGGAAGACAGTAAATGTTACCTCCTAGTCAGTTTGGATGGCCTAACTTTTATGATCCTTTGTTTCACAAACCCGCCAAATAAACAGGAGCCGAAAATGATATAAAAATAAAATTTTATTTCAGCGTAATTTCTCGCGCCTGTCGACTTGTAAGTGCAAAAAATTGCTAAAAAAAAATATTTTTATCTTCATTTTTTTTCATCCGCCGCATAAAAAACTCAAGTTGCATTTTCAAGAGAGTATCATGATCAAAGCACAGTCAGCTGGCGCACACGTGATAATAAAATAAATACGATATTTACTATATGGGGGCCGCCATCTTGAATGAAGCATAAAACTAAATAAGACCCAAGTTGTGAAACGCGTTTTTCAGATTCCTACAAATCAGGACAAAAATACCAATCTTTCACAAAAATACGGTTTGTTGGGGTTATATTAAGCCAACCGATAACAAAATTTGGCCGAATTCGTCGTTTTTGTGTGGAAAAATCCCTTGCATACGAACACCTAATTACGCGAAGAACATAGAACACTAAGCCGGGGTATTTGAAACTAAAAATTGGCATTCCAGCACAGCAGCCAATCGGCGATGGCCTAATGCTTAGATGACAATTT